CTCAATCAGGAAGAATCTATAATCTCAATTGGCCGATAACTATGGAGGAAATTGAAGCAGTCATCAAAAAGCTTCCAGCAAACAAAAGCCCGGGGCCAGGTAGCTTCACAGAGGAGTTTTACTAAAATTCAAAGAACTAAAACCTATCCTCCTCAGACTATTCCAAAAAATTCAAGAGGAAGGAACACTTCCAAGCTTATTTTATGAAGCCAGCATTACCCTAATATCAAAACCAGATAAAGACAACACAAAGAAAGAGAATTACAGGCCAATATCCCTCATGAACATAGATGCCAAAATACTCAACAAAATTCCAGCAAATCCAATAAAGCATTACATCAGAAAGATCATACACAATGAACAAGTAGGATTTATCCCGGGAATGCAAGGATAGTACAATATCTGCAAATCAATAAACATTATATATCATATAAACAAATTGAGAGATAAAAACCACATAGTCATATCAATTGATGCAGAAAAAGCATAAATCCAACACCCTATCTTGATAAAAACCCTCAGCAAAGTGGGAATAGAGGGATCATACATCAATATAATAAAATCCTTATATGACAAACCTACAGCCAATATCATACTCAATGGGCAAAAACTAAAACCATTTCCCCTAAGAACAAGAACAAGACAGGGTAGCCCACTTTCACCACTCCTATTCAATACAGTACTAGAAGAGCTAGCCATTGCGATCAGACAAGAAGAAATAAAAGGTATCCAAATTGGAAAAGAAGTAAAACTGTCCTTATTCGCAGATGACATACTATACAGAGAAAACCCCAAAGACTCCATTAAAAAACTACTAGACCTAATAAATGAATTCAGCAATGTAGCAGGATACAAAATTAATGCCAAGAAATATATGGCATTTTTATACACCAATAATGAACTCACAGAAAGGGAAATGAAAAAAACATTCCCATTTACCATTGCACCAAAAAATTAAGATACCTAGGAATAAACTTAACGGAGGTAAAAGACCTGTACTTGGAAAACTACAGGACATTGAAAAAAGAGATAGAGGAAGACATAAACAGATGGAAGAACATACCATGTTTATGGGTTAGTAAAATCAACATCATTAAAATGTCCATAGTACCCAAAACAATCTATAGATTCAATGCAATCCCCATTAAAATACCAACGGCATATTTCACAGACCTAGAATGAACTCTCCAAAAATTCATCTAGAATTAAAAAAGACTCTGAATAGCCACAGCAATCTTGAGAAAGGACAAAGTTGGAGGGATCACAAAACCAGATATCAAGCTGTATTACAAAGCCAATGTTCTCAAAACTGCCTGGTACTGGCACAAGAACAGACATATAGACCAATGGAATAAAACAGAGAATCCAGAAATCGACCCAAAGCACTATGCTCAATTAATATTTGACAAAGGTGGCAAGAGCATACAATGGAGTCAAGACAGTCTCTTCAA